TTAGTTTAATGTTTGTGCTAATGATTTGTTCTTTAAACAAAGTGCTGCATGTCACTTCCAGGTTACATCTTCAGAAATCACTATAGAGATTACAGAGGTAAGCTGTTAAATAATGACTAGTTTGGGAACGTGGTCGGCATGGACTGGTTGGAGCAAAGGGTCTGTTTCCATGCGTATGACTCTTTTAAAAACAGAATAGGCTGAAAGAAGAACAATTGAAACAGATTATGTTCTTAAGATCCTGGTAACTCCAATTGCATTGCAGCAGATTTAATTTGTATCTGCACCTTTGGAGTTAATAGAGTTGTCACAAAGCAAATTTCTATATTTCTTCCATTTGCTTTAAATTAATATTATGCAAAAATTTTACTGTTGAAATAGCAACTCACAATCTTACTCAGTCTTGTAGGCTGACTAGTTGACATTGTTATTTTTTGAATCATATTTACATTTAGCAAGCAGCACTAGTGCAGATTTTGCTGGACTCTGAGGTTGCACTAGATGCCAAAAGAACCATCATTTTACTGTATGTGTCATGTTTTACTCTAGGTTTATTTTTGCTTTATCCTATTTATTTTCTGTTCTTTGTTTTTCTTACATCTTTCAGTTTCATTTTTGAATATTGCATCCACTCACCCGCACCCCATTACAGTACAAATAGTTCTTTTGTGGTGATGAACAAGCCTTTTATAATGCCTTTGTATTGATTTCTGCAGTAAAATCTATGAGTTGTAATTTGTAAGATTTTCTTCATATGACAGAACCATTGTGACTATTACTATAGTATTAAATTTTAGTCAAGTGAAAAAACTGGTTTGTGCGTTTCACTCTCTTGTAAAAAGTTAAATAATCTAGTTTAAGAAAAGAAATGCTCTAATGCTTGATTGTTTTTTTTCTAAACCTTGTATTATTGCAGGTCCAAGTGCTGCAGGGGAAGGAGCCGCCCTGTTTCCTACAGCTGTTTCAAGGAGGAATGATTGTGCATGCTGGCAAAAGGGAAGAGGAAGAAGAAAGCTCACAAAGTAAAAACCTCCTTATGGTTTTGTTATTTATTAGATATGTTAGCACAATAATATAGAATTGGATAAAGCAAACGTAACACACTGCAATCAGAGTCTTGTACTCAACTATATAATTCTCTATAGATTCAAATTTATAGGGGAGAAACTCATTTGTATGCTGTGCCGGCTTGCCTTGATTCCTCTGAGCTGTTACCTGCACTACCTTCTTCAGTAATATCCATAGAACCAGCATTGCATGCACAATGTACTCCATGTCTTTCAAATGCAAGTGTCTAAAGTGTTATTCTGTTTGGAAGGTTTAGTCCACAACATGGCTTATTAGCCATGTATTTTTATATATGATCTGCCTACTATTTTCTTTCATGAAGTCATGATATTGGACTGATATTTAGAGGTCTTGAGTTCATACTCCACCATGGAATATTGAGTATGAATTCAAAAAATATTTACTAGTGAAAAGCATGAATTATGTTAGTAATTAAGGAAACCTCTCATTCGTACCCAGTCTAGCCCACAAATCGTTCCAATACAGCTGATTCGTGATACCATCTTTAGTGGTCGAGCCAATCAGTTATAACACAATTGAGCTACTCCTTGTTCTCCAAAACACATTTTTTTAGAGGTAACTTATTTTGATATATTGTACTCTTGTTCCATTCTCATTCTTTTCTTCCCTCTGTGTCACATACCTCCTATGAATCAATGGGATGTCTTTTCCAGTTCTCCACCATTGCAGATGTAGAGATTGTCAGTGGGCAGTGAGTGGGTTCAGCTTTACCAGAGGGGATCTAGCTTTGATATTTACATTGCTGAGTTACAGAAGTCAACTGTATTGGTAGAAGGTAACTTCTAGAAAAGCCCCTGAATGCATCGGAAGTTATTTTCTGACAACTATTTCCTTACCTTCTTACGGCTGCTAACAAGCAACATTAACAGAGGCTCAGGTTAGTCGCAGCTGGTTGCGGCCCAGAGGAATTAAGGCAAGTTTAAACCCTTGCCTCTCAATCTGACTTAATAACTGCACAACAAATCTGCGCTACCATAGAGGTGCAAAATAATAATGTCAGATAATAAAGACCAATAAATGATGGACAAAACAAAAGATGAGTTATTCTCTGTGTGGAATGCACTTGACTAATCTACTATTTTCTGTAAATTCTGGTTAAAATCTGTAATGTCTTTTGACATGCAATAATTTCTGAAGAAATGTTCAACGGTAATATTTTTGGATAAATCCTACAATCGCTGCCCAGTCAGTTTAATCTCAGCTGTGGGAAAGCTTTTGGAGATGATCATCTAAAATGGAATTAACAGTTTTTTTGCACATTTCTGGATAATTGAAGGAAAGCCGGCACAGATTTGTTAAAAGCACATCCTGTTTAACTAATTTGCTTGAGTTTTTTTCTGAGGTAGCAGGGAAGGTTCATTAGGGCACAGTATGATATATATGGACTCTGTAGAATAAAGGTTTTGTATGGGGAGAAATTCATTTGCGTGCCATGCAGACTTACCTTGATTCTCCTGGGGCTACTGCACCATGAGCTGCTATCACTGAAGAAATTCACCCAGACTTCTTAGACAAAACCTTCTAAATCCATGATCACCATCATCTAGAAGGTCAAAGGCAGCAGATACAATGGGAACACCACCTGCAGGTTTCCCTATAAGCTACTCACCATTCTGACTTGGAAATGTATCACCATTGCTTCAGTGTCACTGGGTCAGAATTCCCTAACGGCATTGTGGATCTACAAGCTTCCCAGTGGTCTGAACATTGTCCACAGGATGGACAGAAAACCTTTCAACATCAACCAGTTGAAATAAGAAATAACACTGACTTCTCTGGTGGAACTTCAGTAAGCTGATGACAGTATCATCTCTGCTGTCTCGGAGGAGAATCTTCAAGCCTCAATTAATGCCTTTGTGGAAGCATACTGAAATATTGGTCCTTTCCCATCCCTGGGAAAGTTCCAGTCTATTCCTCCATGAAGAGCAATGGAGAAATCCTCCCAAACGTGACCATTTCCTCTACCTGGGAGCCGCCTCACATCTAAGGCTGCCCATCGATGCAGAGATCCAACATCACATCCGATCTGCGAGCACTGCTTTCAAATGCCTAAGGATGAGAGTTTTTGATGACTGCGACATCAGTGCTGAATTCAAGATCCTTGTGTATAAGGCAGTCGTCCTTCTGTCATTTCTTTATGGCTTCAAAACTTGGATTACGTATAGATACCACCTTGAGGCCCTTGAGTAGCACCATCAATGTTGTTTGAGATAGATTCTCCACATCAGCAGGGAGGACAGACATACGCACATCAGCATCCCGAAGGAGTCAGTAGCACTCAGTTTCCCACACACACTCTCTCTCCTTCACACACTCTCTCTCTCCCTCACACACTCTCTCTCTCCCTGTCTCTCTCTCACTCTCTCGCTCTCGCTCTCGCTCTCTGTCTGTCTCTGGCTCTCTCTCTCACGCACACTCTCACCCTCACACGCGTGCACGCACGCATGTGAATCTATTGGGTGAATTTGTGTTTGCAGATTTGACAGTCTATTTTTTTCAAAAAGCACACAATTTATAGACAGTCAGTCAATGTGGTGTTTTTTAAATTCCTACTTTAGAAATGAAACCAGTCTGACTCCAAACCAAAACACAAACAGGTTCTAAACAAAGCCTCACACCCAACATGCATTGCCTAACCTAAAATGTCACCTCTTCTTTACACTGATAAAATCTTTAATTCTCCCAGGACAATGACTTCAAAGGAATTTGGGGATTTACATATACATATTAATCGATTAAAACCTTCTAACTGATTAAAGATTAACAGCATCTTAGGTTTGTTTAGAACATCCTCAACAGTGATGTGACCCTTTGATCTTTTATAAATTCCGTGTCTGATATTACCTCTCTCACTAACACCTGAAGAAGAAGTAAGACTCCGAAAGCTTGTGTTTTCAAATAAACCTGTTGGTATAACCTGGTATCATGTGATTTCTGACCATGATCATCCAAAAACAACTCTGCTGAGCCAACCACATGCTTAGAATGCCTGAGTTCTAGCTGCGAATGCACATCATCTTAGCCCATTTCAAGGAAGGCACTCATGTGACAGGAGGACTGAGGAAGCTTGGATCTACCTATCGCAAATAGACTGCAGCAGTTCAAGGAGGCAGCACACCACCTTCTCAAAGGCAACTGGCAAAATAAATGCAGGCCCAGGCAGTGATGCCCACATCCAATGAATTAATTTTTTAAAAACCCTTGTATTTGTTAACAGAGATTTGACACAATGGAAAACTTCAAAGGTGATGTTGAGTCACACTGCTGACAAAATGAAATTCTGTCCATTCACCCACCCAAGAAAAGCATTAGAGAATATTGGGTGAAATGGAACATACAAGTAAAAACATACAAATTCTTATACACAGTTCTAAAGTAAGTACTTTGAGAATGCTGTGACATTTTCTCATATCCTTTGGGAATCTGTGTAAACTGAAGCATGGAAAAGCCATCTGGGTTTCTGTTGAAATAGACCATGTGCATGAAAAATGTTTGTGTTTTTCAACTTACATGGAATATGTAATAATTGATCCTGATGTGCTTTCTGTTACTGCCCTCTATAGGTGGTTGGCGGTTGTACTGCGTCAGAGGAGAGCTTCCAATGGAAGGAAACTTGCTTGAAGTAGCTTGTCACTGCAGTAGCCTGAGATCCAGAACTTCCATGATTTTGCTGAATGTCAACAAGGCAGTCATTTACCTATGGCATGGTTGCAAAGCACAACCGCATACAAAGGTTGTAGGGAGGACTGAAGCCAACAAAATCAAGGAACTGTAAGTGACACATACTTGGGGAAAACATTGATACCCACAAAATTGTATTTCTGTAAATTATTTTTAATAAAAGAATTAAATGCAGGTATTCCACATGGAATATTAATCTTGACTAAATACAATATTTTAACAATTAAAGGAAGTTTTTAAATGTTTTTTCTATAAAAGAAAACATTTTTAAAAGTGTGTTCTAAGCATTTGGGTGATTCTCTGACCTGCAGAATTTGTGGTGGCCTGCCTTGAGCCACTGCGGTCCTTGTGATTGTGCTTCCACATATTATAGGATGGGTATTTCCAGAATAATGACTCAGCAGCAAGGAAGGAAAGGTGGACTGTATCTGAATCATGGTGCTGTGTGACTAGAAGGTGGTGACATTCCAGAGTTGTAGCTCAAGTGCCTCTCAGGGGAAGAAATCTGCTGTCAAAGTAACCTTGATACAACGCATCCTGTATTTCAGACAACACGCAGTCATAGTGTGCTGACATTGCAGAGGAGATTGATATTCAGTCCAGTGTCGGGGCAATACTCGAGCAAATTACACTGCCCTATTTGGATGTGGAGAGGCTGTGAGGGGCAGTCAGCAAACCACTCATTGCAATCTATTCAGTTTCTGATCTGCTCTTATAACCATGTTGTAAATTTCACTGGTCCACTGCATTGTTCACTATCATAGTGAGAGTATGCAGAATTCCATTGTACATTATATAAGCTGTTTGCGGATCTTGAGGCCAAGGTTTACTGTCCATATATGGCTGATATAATTAGAATACAGATGAGCTGTTACACTAATGTAGCATATTCATATTATAGTACATACGTTATCTTTGGATCTATCATCATGCAGTTGTGGCTTTGTTGTTCACTCAGTCAACGCAAGCTTAAATTTCTACTCTTGGTTCGAGATTTTAAGATGAACTAATTTAAAGCAGTGACATCTTGTCTGTAGAGTGTTTAAAATGCCTATTATTGTTGCAAAGTCAGAAGTCACATGACACCAGGTTATAGTCTAACAGGTTCATTTGAAATCATAAGCTTTCAGAGCGCTGCTCCTTCACGTGACAAAGGGGCTGCGCTCCAAAGCTTGTGATTTCAAGTAAACCTGTTGGACTATAACCTGGTGTTGTGTGACTTCTGACTTTGTCCATTCCAGTCCAACACTGGCACCTGCACTTCATGGTTATTATTGTTGCAGTCTCAAGAAAATGATATGTAACATTTTTTAAATCAATAGCATATACTTAACTACAGTAGCTTTTTTGTTCTTAAGATCTTATTTAAATTAGCAAAGGTATGTTTTTAAAAACAGTATTTGCTTCTCTATCTTTGTAAGAATCCTCAATTTCTCAAATGAAGGGACCCCTCGTATACATCTCTAGTGCAGTACAGAGTTAATGCTCCACTGTCAGAATATAGAACAGTATAGCACAGGAACATACCTTTTGGCCCACAATATCTATGCCAATTATGATGCCATTGCCAAACTAATTCCATCAGCCTGCACATGGTCCATCCTTCTTCATTCCCTGCTTGTTTATCTGTCTGTCTAAATGCCTCTTAAACATTGCTATCATCTCTGATTCTAGCACCTCCCCTGACAGCACATACCAAGCACCCAGCACCTTCTGTGTAAAAAAACAAAACTTTCCTTGTACACCTCCTTTAAACTTCCCCTCTCACCTTAACCTTTGTCCCCTAGTATTTGACATTTTCACTCTGGAAAAAGACTCCAACTATCCACCTTATCAGTGCCTCTCTTAATTTTATATACTTCTATCAGGTCGCCCCCTCAGCCTTTGATGCTCTAGCAAAACAACCCAAGTTTGTCCAACCTCTCCACGTGGCCAATACACTCCAATTCAGGCAGCATCCTGGTAAATCCTTTTTAAACCCTGGCCAAAGCCTCCACTTCATCCCTGTAGTGTGGCAATCTGAACTGGACACCATACTCCAAATGTAGCCTAATTAAAGTTTTTATACAGTTGCAACATGACTTGCCGACATTTGTACTCGGTGCCCACATCAATGAAGGCAAACGTGCCATGCACCACCTTTGCCACCTTGTGTTGCCACTTTCAGGGAGCTATGGACTAGCACCCCAAGATGCCTCTGTATACCAATGCTCCTAAGAGACCTGCCATTTACGTGAATACTTAGAGGTAATATCTTTTTGATGAAACTTTAAACGTAGACCCCACCTACCTATAAAATAAAATACCTAATTAAAAAAAACCCTGATGTATTTGGGAGAAAAAAAAGGTAATGGCATTCACCAGATTATCCTGAATGAGAATCATTCTTCACCCATCATTGCCTAAACAGAATGTCTAGTCATTTATCAAATTGATGTTTATCTTGCTAGCTAGGCACAAATTGGTTGACATGTTTTCTGACAAAATATTGGCAACATTATGTCAAAAAGTGTATAAGTAATTTAACATGCCTTGGAATGACCATGGGTTGCTTAAAGAAAAGAGCAGCCTTTCTTTTTCCCTCCTTTTGAAAGTAATTTTGTTTACACCCTTTCGAAAGAAAACTGCAGACTGGTATGGCTCCATGTTAATTTTTTTTTAAAAGGGTCACAACATGAATGGTAGATTATACTCTGACCAAACTTTAATCACTGCTCGTAACTACAACAGTCTACAAACTAACTTAACCACACTTTACAGGCGACCATTGGAAGCAGGGCTACACAGTAGTATCAATGTGACCGTACATGAATGTGACGAGGGATCTGAAACAGTGGAGTTCTTTGAAGCATTAGGAAGAAGAGATCGAAAAGCCTATGACTGCATGTTGCAAGGTAACCTGTGTTTTCTGATTTGTTACAAAATATTTCTGCAAGTGGGTAGTGACAGTATTAAGAGATAAACAAGTCTTTCTCTATGGCTGCCTTGTACTACAAATTGTTTCTGGCTGCAGAAAAAGTAACTATCACAGTCTGCACTGAATAGTATGAAAGATGTTCCTTTCTCTCTAGTGTCTCTATAGAAAACTTAGCATGAAATGGGCATTAACTGCAAGAGGGCACTTGATGATGAGCGATGGTACTAACTGAGTCAGTGTACTGAAGATTTGTTTTTATAGCGTTCTCTCCCATATTCTATTTTTTCTCAATTGTGAAATGAACGATTAAGTACATGTTCAATATATTGAACGGTTGCCTATACAACAGAACAATAACTTACTGTTTAATATGTTAACAGTCAACTGTGTACTCCATTTCAGCCTGGTTCAATTGGCATCACTCTCACTCCTCAATCAACAAAACTTGCATTTGTAAAGCTTGTTCAATGTTGTAAATACTGAATACACGACAGGAGTATCATCAGACAGAACCTGACTCCCATCTGCAGAAAGAGATATTGTAAATAAGATTGCGTTCAAGCCTCCCTCTGAGATTTGAGTACATAATCTTGGTTGGCACTTTATAACACAATATTATTGGAGTTGGAGGTGGTATATTTTGTGAGACATGCTACTTCAGTAGTTGTAATGGATGTTTTAAGAGTCTAGGAAACTATATTGAAAGCAGGGTGTACTTTCATAATCAATGTTGCCAAAGATAGGCCATTTGAAATGTTACTAACATTTCCTTTCCTCATATGATTGAAATCTAAAAACACACTTTGTTCACAGATCCAGGAAAATTCAACTTCACTCCTCGGCTCTTTATCCTCAGTAGTTCGTCTGGAGAGTTTGTTGCCACTGAGTACTTATATCCTGCCAGGGAGCCTACAATGGTCAACTCAATGCCATTTTTACAAGAAGATTTGTATACTGCCCAACAGCCAGGTTAGTTTTATTTCTCAATCCAGCAGATCTGAAAACATAAATGCTTGAAAAGTGATTGTGCAAATTCACTAATTAAAGAATGCAGTAAAAGTAGTGAACAAGGAATTCATTGACTCATCCAGAAAGGACAGCCACCTGGAAAAAAGACAGCGGATTATTTGGATGGCTAGAGACAGAGATGAGTACTTATCTCAAAGTAGTTCCTTAATTGGTGGGGATTGCAGGAAACAAAAGCTCTGTGAAACTCATTGAGCTGGAGGATAGAATAGTGGAAATATGCAATGGCCAATTCTTTTTAGTTTTGCTTGGCTATCTTTGAAATCAGGATGTATTTGCACCAAATATGGGATTGAGTCATAGACTTTGTTTAAAGAAAATCCTTTTGTTTTTTCTTGCTTTTGTCTATTGATATGATGCTGTGTAAAAGTTGGTATAAATAAGAGCTGCAATTTCTAATGGTTGTAACTAATGATATTCAATTTCTTTATAAATGTGATTTTATGTTCCGCATTATATGTTAAGTGGATCTATCCGCTACTGACATACACACTTTGTACAGTTGGTGGCAGTCTGAGAATAAATTTATGGGAAGAGCCAATCAGATTAGCCAGCAGAGGGTGCGATGTCCCGTCACTGAGGGATCGGAAAAATCACTCTACACTAATTCAATCCACACTCCGGGTTTGATGGATAATGTGCGGGCTTGTTCAAAGTCTGGCTGCTGGCCACTACCTTCCCTCCTGGGTCCCTCTGCCCCCCCCATACATTTCTGCCCGAGAAATCTAAGTTGTGTTGCAAGACCCTTCAATTTCCTTAACATCCACCAGCCATACCAGATAGAAATCCACAGCTTGCTGACCAAAAAGACAGCCTGATACTTTTAGCAGCTAAGTTTCAAGAAACCTACAATACTCAAGAGTATATCAGCATCTTCTGTCTCTTACGTCCAGCTTTATTCTTGGTGGACAATCACCACGAGGTGTACCTTTGGCAGGGCTGGTGGCCTACAGAAAATGAAATCACAGGGTCTGCCCGAATTCGCTGGGACGCTGACCGGAAATGTGCAATGGAGACAGTGCTACAATACTGCAAAGGTATGCTGCAAATATTGACAATTATCATCTAAAGAATTAATGATATTAATTAGGAGTTGGAATTCCATCATTTAATTCATAGGTGGTAATGTTGTAAGTTTCCCTTCAGCTGTTTATTTGGTTCTTCCCCATCCTGTATTTATTTTCTCCTGTTTCGGATCTCTTTTTCTACTTGCACACGGAAGGAGGCTATTGCTGGCTGAACCTATGTTCATTCCCCATCCCATATTGCCCTAGTTGAATTCTTGCTTGCCATTTCAAACGGCAGTTAAGAGTCAACCACATTGCTGTGGATCTGGAGTCCGGTGGAAGCCAGACCTGGTAAGGAGGGCAGATTTCCTTCCCTAAATTGTTAGTGAACCAGATGTGTTTTTAACAGCAGTCAATAGTAGTTGCCATTAGACTAGATTTTAATTCTAGATTTTATTCAATTCATGGCTAACTATCTGCCATGGTGGGATTCAAATATTAGACTCGTTCTGACAAAGAGTCACTGTACTTGAAATGCTACCTCTATTTCTCTCTTCATGAATGCTGCCATACCTGCTGAGTTTCTCTAGCAATTCTGATTATGTTGCACAGATCAATAGGCCAGGGTTCTGGATTGTTAATCAAGACCACCATATCATGCCAGCCCTGATTTTGTTTCATTATAAATATTTAAATATTTTAATTGTGCCCTCAATCTAGGATGACTGCACTAGATGGCTAGGGCATTCTGAAGGATTTTGGAATGAGACAATTTAATGTTCTTTGTTAACATTGCACATAATTAGTGCATATCAAGTAAAAGATGGTAGTTTATAAAAGTGGTGCTTTTTAGGCATATCCTGCAGTCTCTGTAGAATTAATATGCTGGATTTTAAAAATAGTTCATCAGTACAATCCCAGCCTTAACCTGTTTTGAAAGAGAGCAGTTTTCAGGTTGCCTTGGTTGCCCACCAGGAAGGCGGAGTTCGATTATTGTTACTTACAACACCTATGAAGGACCTGTTCCCACAGTGCTTGGAATTTCCAGTTGACGTTCTGGACAGTCCATATCCATCTGGACCACATCCATCCTGGTCGGCAATAGGTGGAGAGGGGTGCCTGATGGTGCATGCAAGGGAAACACCCCTCCCCGATCAGTAATGGCTGCCAAGGCCCTCCAGGATTGTGGCTAGGCAGCTGTGACATTTCAAAAAGTGACAACAAACTTGTCCTTGCTTCTGCACCGCAGTCTCCATCTTCAGATGAGCACTCCTGTCTCTGCTGGTTGGACTTCTGATCGCCGGGTATTTGAGGGTCTCCCATTAGCCCTTCAGTGTCAAGATTTCCCATTTCTGCTCCTGCTCCATAGCCTTCAGTTGACTAAAACTTTAGGTGTGACTAAAGCACACCATGTAGGGTGGAGCTAGGAAATATTCCCATGTCCTGTGCCTGACTTATGACTGGAAATCTAGCCTAATATGGGGTATAAGTCGGCCACATTGTACAGATACTGCATGCATTTAGGGCAAGGTAATTGAAAATAAAACCTAACATATTGACAAAGAATGAAATGGATTCCTATTTGGCATATTCTCAATTGTATAGTCCCATACATTCATGTCACCTCATATTCTGTTTATCATGTGAGTATCTCAAAGATAGAAGTTCATAGTGTCACGTTGAGAACAAAGAGAGTGGGAATCATATGTTGAAAGCTAAAAACCACATACTGCAGTAAAATTTAAGCCATTCCTGTCCATGTTAATTTATTTATTCTTTCAAGTTAGATGGTCACTGTTGGCAATGCCAACATTTGCATCTCCAATTGCAGAATTAGAAATGGACAACAGATAATGCTATAGAAATTTTACTGCATGGAAAGTGGGCTTTTGGCCCATTGTTCCATGCCAGTCATCAAATATGTTGGCCTCACCTGCAACAACCGTATCATGCAAGAATTTTATAAAAATTACCACTGGGACTTAGTATATTGTTGTCATGTACTATTAAAGCATCCGTGGCTGAGAGCAGGGGCGGACAGCGTAATTGGCCTCTTTATTGTAATGAACAAATCAAAATCAACATTACTTAAACATTTTTAGTATGCTACAGAAAAGGCAACCCTTATGAGTGTCTTAACAATCAATAACTCCACACCACATGTACACTTACACTGTTGCAGCATGTTTACCACAATGTTACAGCCTTTATTGAAAATAACCCAAAGCTCATAACTCATCGCTTCCAATGTATGCTAAGGCATATCAGATCAGCCATGATCCTGTTGAATGGTGGAGCAGGCTTGAGGGGCTGAACAGCCTACTCCTGTTCCTATTTCTTTTGATCAATAGGATCATGACTGATCCGACACTCCTCATGTCCACTTTCCTGCCCTTTCTCTATAACCCTTGATTCTCCCACTGATCAAGAATCTATCTACATCTGTCTTAAATATACACAAGGATTCTGACCCCGCAACTCTGTGACAAGGAGTTCCAAAGACTAACAGTTGCTATCAAGATTTGATGCTACCATCAGCTTTATTGTGTCCTTATGAAAGCTGACATTACAGAATCACATGTTTCAGTGCAGAAGCCTTAACCATAGAAACGTGTCTACATTACACTTGAAGTAATTCGACCAAGGGATTTCTGATATTCTTTGAAAAATTCAGGATGCCCTCCAGTGAAATGATGTCAGTCTGACTTGCCTTGATTATGACCTCGAAACTCTTCTATCTGTTTATTCTCCACTAATCTTCCATCTATAGCAGATTTGCGCCAATTAAATTTAGAGAGCCGTGCAAATTTAAATACATTAAATGTGTGGTTTAGCAAAACAAAATATTTACTTATTTCATTGTGTATATTATCTGAAAAAAGATTTGATTACAGTTGAAGTGATGATTGGTAATAACATATATTGTTCTTCCATTACTTGATCACAGTAAAGAATGCCAAGAAGCCACCAAAATCCTACCTGATACATGCAGGTTTTGAACCATTGACGTTTACAAATATGTTTCCCAGTTGGGAGCACAGGGAGGATGTTGCAGAGATCACTGAAACGGTAAAGATTTTACTTGCGTTTATTTCCAAATCGTCCTGCTGCTGCTGTTCATGCTGGCTTCCTAAAACCTATTTTTCTTTTTTTTTTCAAATCCTAGGAAGCTGAAAGCTGCAATAAAATAATTTTGGTAGAGGATGTATTGAGCAAGCTGTGCAAGACGCAGTACCCACTGGCAGAACTTCAAGCCCGGCCTTTGCCGGAGGGTGTTGATCCATTAAAGCTTGAAATTTATCTGACGGATGAAGATTTCCAGGTAAATTCTGAGTGCTGTGAATCTGAAAAGATCGTAGTGAAAGTTGTGTTGGCAAACTGCGACGGAGATTGTATCCTTTGATACAATTTTGCATTCAGTCTCTTCTGTTTTCCTAAAATATACTGAATTTTATGGGGCTTGCGGGAGCAGAAAATGCACAAAATAGCCCACTCACGTTAAATTTACCAATGCAAAATTGTTCAATGTTTATAAAAGAAATGTTGAACATCAGTTCCAAATGATGATGGCATTTAATTCAGTATGAATTTTTTGGAGACTGTGCATTTATTATACCAGGTAGTGAATAGATTTCCAATTTTTAATTCAATGAGACATAAATTGTTGTCATTAATTTTTGTACCTGGATGCCAAACAACTGCAGCTGACAGTAAGTGGATTGTACAGATGTTAGGCTACTCGAGTTCGTGTTTGCTTTGAGTATGGAGGCAATTTATAACCCATTGGAGAGAATACTCTCCTGCAACGTGTGCATGGTAAAAGTATGAGCAGATATGAGTTTTAGGGAAATTTTAACAACAAACTCCTTTGTTCCTTAAATAGCATCAATTCTGATAATGCCTCATAGTGACTCCAAGCCATATAAATTGGTCCAATACGAGAATTTTGATGATCCAACCCACCTTAGGCAGGTTTTTATGAAAGTCTGCCAGAGTTGGCAAGATGGCAGGTGGGCAGAAATTGTGAAGGAGGCCAAGTGTCAGACTCCCAGTAATGTATGGAAAAACAATAAGCCCATTCGTGGTGAAAATTCATTGATGTGCTTAACTGCTGACTTGCATGTGACCTAATTTATTTTATTAATTCGGGTAATTTGGGCTTTACTGGCTTGCGCAGCATTTATTGCCCATCCCGAATTGCCCCTGAGGAAATGGTGGTGAGCTGCCATCTTGAACTACTGCAGTCCATTTGATCTAGGTAGATCCACATGCCATTAGGGAGGGAATTCCCAGATTTTGACCTGAAGACAATTAAAGAACGGTGATATGTTTCTTAGGCAAGATGGTGAGTGGCTTGGGGAGGAATTACAGGTGTTCCCATTAATCTGCTTCCCTTCACCTTCTAAGGTGATAGCAGTCGTCCATTTGGAAGGTGCTGTCCAAGGATCTTGATTCATTTCTGCAGTGTATCTTGTGGATGGTAAACACTGTAGCCACTGAGTGTCAGTAGTGGAGGGAATGGATGTTTTTATTGTGGATGTGGTGCCTATCTAGTGGGCTGCATTGACCCAGATGGTGTTCTTGAGTGTTGTTGGGGCTGCACCCATCCAGGCAAGTGAGGAGTATTCCATCACACTCCTGACTTGTGCCTTGTGTATGATTGACAGGTTTTGAGGAGTCAAGACATGAATTACTTGCAGAATTCCTTGTCCTTGATGTGCTTTGTATTTTTACGACTAGTCCAGTTCAGTTTTTGATCAGTGGTAACCCCTGGATGTTGTTTGTGGGGATTCAGTGAAGGTAATGCCATTGAGTGTAAGGGAAGTTCAATTCTCTGTTGTTAGACATTGTCACTGCTTTGCATTTTTATGGTGTGAATTTTACTTGCCACCTATCAAGCTTCAATATTTTTCAGGTTTTGCTGTATATCAACATATGTACAGTATCTGAGTAGTTACAGATGGTGCTGAACATTGTGCAATCTTTAGTTCTGACCTTTATAATAAATGATAAATGATTAAATTGAAGCAGCTGAAGATGGTTGAGCCTAATACATCCCCCTGAAGAACTCCCTGGGGCCCTTGTAGTAGAGTGGAAATGTACCTACCTCTGGGCCAAAAAGCCTGAGTTCAATTCCCACCTACTCCAGAGGTTTATCATACCACAGATTTTCTTTTTAAAAATTTACTCTGAGGAACTCCTGCAGAGATGTCCTGGAGCTGAGATGATTCTTAAGTCCTGTAAGATGATTTTGAATTCTGACACCGGATCAGCTGACCTGTGTATTCACCAAAGGAAAAGCACAGAACTGCAGATGCTGGAAATCTGGGACAAAAAGAAAGTTGCTGGAGAAACTCAGCAGGTCTGGCTGCATCTGTTGAGAGAAAAACAGTATCCAGTCTAGTGACCCTTCATCAGACCTGGCAATAGCTGGGAAATGGTGGTATTTATGCTGATCACTGCAAGGGCGTTGGAATGGGGGTGCTGAATAGAGTACATGGAGATGGAACCCAGATGGAAGGAGTAAGAAAAGGGGATGGACAGACAAAGAGCTGATGATGAGCCGAGGGAGAGAAGGGTGCTAACAAGAAGCGTGAATAGATGCCTGCCACTCCATCCCCCATCCTCATTTTTGAAAATCTGATCCCAACTCTGCACTCCTCGTCCCAGCTTACAAGCAGAAATTGAAGCGTGAGGACCCAGAACAGATAATACTGCTGTATTGGTCTGAGGCAATGGAAGAGCTTCCACAGTACTGCTTTCAGTCAATGAACTGGTCCATATTCAAGTACGCAGCAGCTGACCTAAAACGAGTATGCCACTACTGTTACAAACTTCATTAATAAGTGTGCAGAAGACTGCATGTCATATAAGTTAATCCTAATGTTCCCCAGCTGGCAACTATGGATGAACCAGGAGATCCACTCCCTGCTGAAGACCAGGTCTGAGCTATACAGGAAGTCCAGGTACGACCTTCGTAAGGCCATCAGAGATGTCACGAGCCAAACTGAGCTTGAGTCCCAGACTAACCACACAGACACCAGTCATTTGTAGCAAGGTTTACACGACGTAACAGGCTACAAAGCGAAGTCAAACAGAATCACAGGCAACAGTACATCCCTACCCGACGAGCTCAATGCATTCCATGCTTGCTTTGAACAGAAGGTCAGTGAAACGTTGTCACCTGTCCCAACAGGCTCGGATGTACCTGTACCCATGGTCACCGCTGCAGACGTTAGATCAGCCTTCGTGAGAGTGAATCCAATGAAAAGTGATTGGCCGGGAAGGAGTCCCCGTCCCCGTTCCTGTCCCCACACTTACACTCTGTATGAACCAGCTGATGGGAACATTCACAGACATCTTTAACCTCTCCTTACCACGATCTGAAGTCCCCACCTGCTTGAAGAAGACCACCATCATCTCAGTGCCAAAGAAAAATCATGCAACGTGCCTCAATGACTACCACCCACTGGCTCTGATCTCCATCATCATGAAGAGCTTTGAGAGTTTAGTCATGGCTCACATCGACTGTAGCTGACCAAATTGCCTTGATCTTTTACAATTTGCCTACCAGCGCAACACGTCCATGGCAAACACCATCTCCTGGCCCGACACCCATCCCTGGAACATCTGGATAACAAGGATACCTACGTCAGGTTCCTTCTTATTGACTACAGCTCCATCTTAAATGTTATAATTCCAAATAAACTCATTTCTAAATTCTGAGACCTAGGTGTTAGCTCCCCGCTCTGTAAACCGATCCTTGACTTTCTGACCCATAGACCGCAATCAGTAAGAATAGGTGACAGCACCACCCCCAACATAATCCTCAATACTGGTGCCCTGCAAGGCTGTGTACTCGACCCCGCTACTGTACTCCTTATCCAGTCATGACTGTGTGGCCAAATTCCACCCCAACTCCATTTACAAGTTTGCTGATGACAGCACCTTTTATAAGTCAGATCTCAAACAACAGTGCAGGAAAGAGGTTGACTACTTAGCAGCAAGGTGTAGAAAAGAATCTCTCCATCAATATCAGCCAAACAAAGCAGCTGGTCATTGACTTCAGGAAGCAGAGTGGAGGGCACACCCCCTGTCTGCATCAATGGTGCTGGGTTGCAGATGGTCAAAAGCGTCAAGTTCTTGGGAGTGATAATCACTAACAATCTGTCCTGGTCCACCCACATCAACATTACAGTCAAGAAAGCACAGCAATGTCTTTATTTCCTTGAGAGGCTCAGGAAATTCAGCATGTCCACAAAGACACTTACTAATTTTTATAGATGCATCGTAGAAAGCATCCTAGCTAGATGCATCATAGCATGGTATGGCAACTGCTCTTTCCAAGATTGCAAGAAAATACAGAGAGTTGTGAACACAGCAAAGTCCATCAAGCAAACCAGCCTTCCATCCATTGACTCCATCTGTACTTCCTGCTGTCTCGGGAAAGCTACCAACATAATCAATGACCACTCCCACCCCAGTTATATTCTCCTCCATCCTCTTCTGTCAGACAGAAGATAAAAGTTTGAATATAATATGAACAGTTTCAAGAACAGCTCTTCCTTGCTGTTATCAGACTTTTGAACAGACCTCTCAAATGTTAATTCTCATCTCTCTCTCTCTCTCTCTCTGTGCCTTCTCAGCAGCTCTAACACTGCATTCTGCACTGTGTTCTGCTACCCAGATGCACTATGTATGGTATGATCTGCCTATACAGCATGCAAAAGAACACTTTTCACTGTATCTCAGTGCATGTAACAACAATAAATCAAACTCAGACGAATAGTTGTAAATGGCTTGGACTCCCACAGTTACTACTTCTATACATCCTCACACACCACTTCCTGTAAAGACTCCGTTCCATTCTTCCACTTTCTCCATGAGAGATGCTGACAGTGGGACTAAATCCAGCACATTGCTTTCAAAGCTCAGATTCATTCTCATCCTTCACAATCAAAAGACTTGACAGTATGGTGACTTCACCCAACTTCACTGAACCCTGTGTGCTTTCCTCTCTTTCAGATTATGATTGGATTTTGTTGACAATTTTAAGTTTCAAACTTTTACCTCCCATTGAACCTAACATTTTCTCTTTTTCTTAAACTGTTGACTGCATTGAATTCGTAGTACATTAAGTTCTTATATTTTCTTTCTTGGAGATTAATTTCTTTTTACACTTTTGAAGAGAATTCAAAATAGTTAATATAATGTAAACTGCAAGAAACCACTGGCCTTTCTGCACAAATCTCAAGCTTCTATGAACTATTTATCCTCAACAGTTAAGAAAATCATGCATAAAATTCAACTTATACAGGCAGAATTTTATAGGTAAGGGATTGACAAGGTAGTGTCTAATCAAAATGCTTAAGACGGTGCACTGAACTCATAGGGAGAAAATTTTACCGGGGCGTTTGAAACAGTTCAGCCTAAATATGTTAGTAACTATCATTGTAGTTTATCTAAATAAACTGCAAGTATATCCTTTTCACAGGCTTTATCTGAAATCTAATAGTTATGACACAGTTTCTAATAAACATGTGTGATTCACATAGCAAGACTTTTATGATGTTTCGATCTTGTAATGTGTGATAACGTTATCAGATGAATTTGAAGTGAGCTACTGCTTGGTATCTGTATCCACTGAGATATCTAGCCATTTATTCTGAGGCTTCAGTCAACTTGGCGTCGTCTTATTAAGGCAGAGTGGGTGGCAAACAGAACATGACAAACAAAATGTACCTTTTGTTAGTGTATTGAAGTGCAGCTTCTTGAGGTGAGAGTGCAAGAGCAAAAAAAAAGCTGCAGACAATTGTGATGAAGATATGCCCTATTACATAAAGAGACCGTCTCTCATGGCTAAATAGGTCAGAGTGAATTCAGAGTTATTTGCTGTCAACCTTGCTGATTCAACCTCACATCATTATGAGATAGAATATAAATTCCCTGAGTATAATTTTGATAAGTCAAAGCTTTATTCTGCTTTTAAATTTAAATTACCTTCTTTGAAATGTGAAAAACACCTGAGGAAAATTGAATTATCTGCATTTTGAGCTCTGCTGTCACAGAAGACATGATATTGAATATCATGTTGGTCTTTTTATTCACTCTTTTTATTATTTTGGGAATGATCACACTGTGTATGAAGGGTATAAAATGATGATTTTGTACTTCTGGTTTGATCTTCCTCGTTCTTTAAATTGCTTCAGCATATTTGATCCTTTGCCCAATAATGATTGTAATTCTTCTGTAGTTGAGATTTTAGCTTTACAATAAATTCAGGCATATAAATTTGCCTTGCCAGGTGTAGAAAATTGTAAAGCCATTAACACAATGTTCTCAAAAAACAATGTTCATGTGCAGTTTTTAAGAGTGGTAATTTTAAATAACATGTGATGACCTGGGATGATAGTTTGTTGTTTTTGTTTCACAAAATAGCTGCCTTGTGAATTCTAATTTTTGCATTACAGAATTTTGACCATTTTTACATTTGTGATAATTAGTTTATAAATCTTTGCAAGGCCTTAAAAAAAACAAACTGATTCCTCAACAAACTGATCCTAAATAAATTATCTAAGCTACAGGTTTAGTGTGCACTGGATAATCTATTTCACCAGAATTGTTGCTTTGAGCAAGTAACAATTCTAACTTGCCTCTCTGAGACCCTGTGGACGCCACCTTTAGCAAGATATATCCACAGTGATGTTTAGTTTTGTGGAGAGAGAAGTGTTTAGGTGAAAGATCTGTCATCAGAACTTTAACTTTCAACCTGTAATATTCTCACCTTAAATCTTAACTAGAGGAAGCTACATTTCGTATGTGGAGAGAGGGGTAAGTGAATTGAATTAATTACCTAGTTATCATGCCCTTGTGACAATTGTTTAACTAGCACAATATTTACTTTTGTGTAATTTTTTTTAAACAGATCAAGCTCCATCATACACTTGCCCCAGCTGGTGAGAGTGAGCTTATCATCTCTGCTGTTGATATTAGGCTGTAAATGAATGGGAATATGTAATTGTCATTTGTGGTATATGACCTCCTTAGAAACTGTTGGTTCTGGCTAGGTAGCAATTGTATTTCTTTGCAAATATTTACAAATCCATTTTTAACAGCATTTGTTAATTTTGGGGGAGCAGAATCATTGTTTGCATTTTTATTGTAGGCAGTTAATGTCAGTGTGAGTTAGTGGATTACTTATTTATCAACCTTCTATCTAAAGTTATTCTTTAGTCATCTGCTGAGATAGCAGGAAGTCACTTTCCCTTTTGTTTTATCTCCATCACTGTAATGGATTGCTGGGCCTTCATTCCCATGCCAGGAAGTTATCTGGAGAATTCTGCATTCTCATTTTTGACCTAAGTGTTTTTCCTCATGTATGCAATTTCTGTCCACTGCCCATTTTTAAAATGTTTTTTTCCCAGTTACTAAGTATTTTATGTCCTATATACAACTGCACAAGCAAGTGAAACCATTTTAATGAAATGATACATTCTTTTGCAGAAGACACTGGAAATGACGAGAGAAGAGTTCAGTACCCTGCCCTCATGGAAGCAAGTTAAACTGAAGAAAGCAAAAGGCCTTTTCTAAATAGTTTTTAGTATAGTGCGTAATTTTTTTTAAAAAAAACACATGCTTAGTAACAGAGCTTTCACCGAAGATCATTTGGACATCCATGGATCAGACATGGACAGTGGTCTGGTCAAAGAGCACATTATGGAAACAAGTTGCACATTCAGGGCAGCAATGCCCTTTTGGGGGAGATTTGTCGATTTGTGCATGTTGAGGGGAACTCTGTGGATTTTAACAGTGTTGACATAATGAGACAATGCCGTTGTACGCATTTGACCTCAATGCACTTAAGGGCAACAGATGCTACTCGGCCATACCCTGCCTGTGTATCTTGAAGGCAAATTATTTTGTAAAGTGTTATTTTGTGTGTAGCAGATAGCTAATCATGAAGAGTTTATATTTATATAATACAATATGAAAAGTGACTATGGTTTAATGACTAAATATTTAATTGTTAATGACATATATTCACTTGAGTTTTTTTTTTGCGTTAACCAGAAAATACGATGGCTAGTTGAACGAAACCTGCTTGTACTGAGATCATGCCACAAATACCTTTTTTGCATTCTGATAATCATACAATCATGTTCAGTCATTGAAAAGTTCATGAACAAAGTGTATTTATGGCATGGAATAATGAAAAAGCTACGCAAATCGAGTAACTTTTTATGTGAATCTATAAAATGTATAGTGCCTTGCTTTTGTGTACAGTTTATACTACAGAACAAGTGTTTGAATTTTTGATGGAAGCAGGTGTTTAAAAAAAAAAGCTTCATTCAGTTAAACTTGTTATGATAGAGGTTTAAGAATCTCTATTCCAACATTCATCAGCCTAACAAACTTTGTTCTTGTGATACAATTTAGAAAAATAAAAGTTGAAAATTGATTTGTATTTTTTTGGTTATGTCTCTCTGGGCAGTTTACAAAAGGTGAAACAAAGTTTGTGTGAACCTGGCATGTTCAATTAAGTTCTTAATTGTAACTAACTGAAGACAATTGATCGTATTACCACAATGATTTACTACCATTTATAAGTCTGTTATTGTAGAGTCATTTGAGTTAATTTGACAACATCTTGCCATTTACATAATACCTTTATTAAAATGTCCCAAGGCACTTCAGACAGAAACTAACATCAAACAGCTGAGTCAGGAACATGACCATAGGCGTGATTATAATCAGTTGCAAGATGACTTTTGGATGAGAGGAGCACGTTTTCATGGGGTTTTATCAGGACGGTTCCAGATTGGCACTCTGAGGTGGCTGAGGATTTTGCTGCCAAAAATATTTCAATAATTCATAATGGCCTGCTGTGGAAATTAATCATGGAATCATACAGTACAGAAGATGGTCGTTCAATCCATTGAGCATTTTCTGGCTCTTTTGAAGAGCTAACAAATTAGTTTTGACTGCCCTACACATTTCTCCTCTTGTTTACTACATCAAAGCTCTTCATAATTTTGAAAATTCTGTTAAATCTCCCTGTAATTTTCTTTGCTCAGAGGAGAGCAAGCCTACCTTCTGTAATCTCTCCATGTAACTGAAATCCTACACCCCGGTATCATTTTAAGAAATCTTCTTTATAACCCTCTCCAAGGCCTTCAAATGTATGGTGCCCAGCACTGGACTGTCTGACCCTGCTAATGCCTAACATGTGAATTATGTAATAATACTTTAATAATAGTATTAAAAGCAAGTTCCCAGTTCACAAGAAAGCATGAGCTTAGAAATGGCAATTTTGTTGCATTGGGAAATCATTTCCACAAGGAATAATTTTCCAAAGGCCAAGAAGGTCTTAGAATGGAGACAATATTAAAAAATAAGTGCAGTCTTTTGTGTTTATTCTGTCATTGACTTACCAAGATCATTTTTAAATCTCTTTCTTGCACAATAACTACTAAGTCTCTATATTTACTGGATGAGAATTTGATCTGCCTTCTTGTAAAAAGTTACTAAACTATTCGAGAGAAGTAGCAGTTGATAACTATTTAGCATTCAATAACATACTAGTTTAATGTTTAGCCGTTGGTTTCCTCTATTTATAGCCATTGACCTGTAGCTCTTCTGCCTGACCGTCCTACACAAAGTGCCTTTCTAGATCCACCTTACCTATTGATAAATTTTGAAACTTGAATCTTGCAATAGAGATTTGTGTGTTTACTGAGCTGACCATGTTAATGGTCATCTTACTGTGCTGAAGAGTCCCTTAACACAGTGTTCTGTAGCAATTCCAGGAACACTAATAGAAAGTATTATTAAACACACCGAAAATGCAATAAATTATTAAAAACTTTGAATTTTCTTTTGTTGTCTTATTTAGTGTCCCAATTTTCTCCTTTTTGCACTTAGTTTTTCTGATCTATATGCCATTTTTTTTTAAATACTGAACACAGCATTTTTTTCCCGTGCCTTCAGTGTACATCATCCATCTCTTTAAATCTCAGCAGCAGATATTTATAGTCTTTGTGTACAGGATAAGTCAGCTTAGTATTGGAGGGCAGGCCTGAGAAATTGTTAGAATTGATGGAAGAATATCCCTCCATTACACCCTCGTCCACTCCTCCATCATTACTAGTACTGAATCTTCGCCCCCATGGCATCTTCCTATGCAATCACAGAAGGTGTAACACTTGGACAACGAGGAACAGAGGAGGTAAAAGGTCAAGGCCCCAAACACATTTTCCGAGTGATGTAGCCATTTACTTGTAACTACTTTCAATCTAGTATGTTGCATTTGCTGCTCACAATATGGTCTCCTCTACATTGGCAAGACCAAATGCAGCCTGGGTGACTTTTGCAAAGTGCCTCCTCACTGTGAGAATGACCCCCACCCTTATGTTTGAATGCCTATGCTGTCAGCACAGCACTCAGAATCTACTATTCACACCCATCATTGGCACCTGTTTTGTATCTCAAACACTCCTTTACTAACGTTATCTTTTGCTCTGGGCATGCTCATCATCTGTTTAACTCGCTCAAACATAAGAACAGTTGCAGCAATTCAGTCCCTTAAGCCTGAACTCATGGCCTCAACTACACTTTCCTGCCCTCTCTCCATAACCCTTCAACCCATTACTAATCAATGATCTATCTGTCTCCTCTTCCAAATTTATTCAAGTCCCATCATCCACCAAACTCTGGGATAGTGAATTCACAGATTCATGACCCTTGAGAGAGGTCATTTGTCCTCATCTCTGTTTTCAATCTGCTGTCCCTTATCCTGAAACTATGATCTCTTGTTCTAGATTGGTCCACAGAAAACATCCATCTAGCCCTGGTGACTTATCCCCCTTCAGGATTTCCAACTCCTAATACTTCCTCCTCTAATTATTTTGTCCAGTATTTCACACTGCTCCTCTTAGATATCCACATCATCCCTTTGTGAATATGGATACAAAAATCATTTAAAATTCTTCCCATATCCTCTGCATCTGCACACAAGTTCCCTTCTTCATCTCTGATAGATCCCGCTTTTTCCTCAACTTTGCTTTTTATATACTGGTAAAACATATTTGGGTTTTCCTTTATCTTGCGTGCTAATATTTTTGATGCCCTTGCTTTGATTTCCTTTTTGTTCACTTCATCCCTGTACTTTCTATACTCCTCTAGGCTATCCACAGTATTGTGTCTTTTTGTGACTATCAAAAGCTTTCTTTTCCTGTTTAATTTTGCCCTTAATTTTTCTGTACAACCACGAGAATCTAGATTTGGCAGTACTATTCTTATGTTTGGAAGAGCATGTCTGGTTTGTGCCCTAAGGATCTCACTTTTTAGTGCCTCCCACTGGTTTACCTCTGATTTATCCTTTCTAGTCCACCTCAGCCAAACTCACTCAGTTTTGTAAAATCCTAGTCTTGAAATTCCTCACCTTACAGACAAGACACCTGCCATTCACTTTATCTATACCCCTCGTTATTTTATAAACCTCCAGTGAGAAAAGTCACTGCCTATCTAGCCTCTCCTTAAACTCAAACCCTCCATTCCCAGCAACATCTGGTAAATATTTTCTGAACCCTCTCCAGCTTAATAATACACTTCCTATAACAGGGAGACCAAAACTAAAATACTCAAGAAGATGCTCACCAATGTCCTGTACAAGTTCAACATAATATCCCAACTCCTATACTCAAAGTTCTGAGCAATGAAGGCAAGCATGCTAAATGCCTTCTTAACCACCCTGTCTATGTGTGATGCAAACTTCAAAGAAATTAGTACCTGAAACCCTAGGTATCACTGTTCTACGACACTACCCAAAAACCCTACTTTTAATTGTATAAGTCCTGCCCTTGTTTGTTTTACCAAAATACAATACCTCATATTTATCCAACTTGAAATCCATTTGCCACTCTTCAACGCATTGACCCAATTGATCAAGATCTCTTGGTAATCTTGAGTAACCTTCCTTACTGTCCACTATACTATATATCTATATGTGATGTATATCCACAATACCACCAATCTTGATTTTCAGAAAATAAAGAAATTTGACCATTGCTAGCTATTTATGGTAAAACCATTTGGAATTGCGCAAGTTTCACGAGTAATTCCAAACAAGGAAATCGGAATAACAAGGTGTAGAGCTGGATGAACACAGTAGGCCAAGCAGCATCAGAGAAGCAGGAAGGCTGACATTTCAGGCCTAGACACTTCTTCAGAAAGCCCATTTGATTTTCTGAAGAAGGGTCTAGGCCCGAAACGTCAGCCTTCC